TCCCACTCTCGGGTGCCCCTGTTAGCCCCAGCCCTGCTTGTGGGCATAGACCTGAATCTCCAAGGGTGACCTTGGGGCAACTCCTAGTGCCCCGTGGATCCAAATCTGCCTTTGTGCGTGACAGGGAGCCTGTGGGTGTTTCGCACCCTGCGTCCTTGGTGGGGCACAGGCATCGGGCTCTCTGCAGGCAGCGAGGAGAAGGAGGGAGGAGAAGTCGTGGTATCACATGAGGCTCCTTCAGCAAGAGAACACCAGAGCCGGGCAGGGAGGGGGGCACCATCTCCCCGGGGAGCTCCCCCGCAGTGAGGAGCCTTGTGCAAATTAACACCCCCTTGCCCATGGCCAAGGTTTCCTGGGACGGGCAAGGAGACGCCAGCCAAGGCAGAAGAGGCCTGACCTGGCTGAGGAATCGCCTCCCGCACCCCACGCTGCGCCATGAGAAACGCCGTGCGCTGAGCGGGCAAACTGCCGGCCCCCCTGCCGCTGCCCGAACCCACCAGGAGCTCTGTCCTTTCCTCCGTGTCCGGCCGAACGTGCAGGGCCCTGATCTCAGTGGCCTTTGTGTATCCCCGTAATGTGATCAACACCGGCGTAATCCCGCCGGCTGTCCACCTGCCAGCTTGCTCCATGTCACCTTCAGCGCAGGGCACTGGCAAAGCTGCTCCTGCCAACCTCAGGCTCGCAAACTTTGGGGCGGTTTGCCCAGGAAAAGGGCTCTAAGGGCTTGCAGCACTCGGTGCCGTGCTGGAGCAGTGTGGGGGAGCCGGCACACGCGGGAAGTCAGGGCCCAGCAGTGAGGGGAGCTGGTTACAGGTGCCACGGACCCACAGCGGGTGCCAGCCTTGCTCCGAGGTGCCTCGCCAGGCTGGGGACATCGGCCGTGTCACAGCTTGCTGCAGGAGACGACTGCCTGGTAGCTTCATCCCCCGTAGAGAAAGCCCACCCTATATGACTCAACATCCCCGTGACACCCCAGTTCCTCCCACATCATCTGTCCCTGAGCTCTCCCTGTGATCCCAGTGACACCGG